TTCAATTCTGTAAAATGTTTTATGGCAAGTGCCTACTTTAATCGATATATTTTGACTTTGCATATTTTACATTCGTCTTGATTCTATTTTTACCAGCCTATGTATGTATGTATGTTTGTTTGTTGCTTTGTATGTTCATTTGCTGGTCTAGAGATCAAACGCATGGGCCGATTTTGTTGATTCATACGTCATTAGCTTTGTCTTAATAACGCGAGTCTCATAATATGCTTGTATAGGTACATAGATATCATTAAAAGTCAAAATGGCTGATACGAGGCGCCAATTTGTACATCTTGAATTTTTTTTTGTCTGAATAGATTGAGTAGTTTTTTTGTAGAAAAAAAGGGGCAAATGAGCAAACGATCCACCTAATGGTAAGTGGCTATCGCCGCTCATGGACATCTGCAACACAAGAGGAGCTGCAAATGCATTGCCGGCCTTTAAGGGACCTATAGACATTACTCTTGAAGAGCCCCATATTATAGCGCTCAGGGAAAAACCTACGGTAGATACATATATCAAAATACAGGTTTTTAAGCGGCCATTACAAAAATATACACAACTTATATGTGTCCTTAAACATAATTTAGGATAAGAAAGTGTGAAATAAAACTAAAAATGTCTAATTGACCAAAATTAAAAAGTGATAAATAAAAAAAAATACATTTTACGATTACATATGTACCTACTACCCACAAGTTGTATACTAGCTGCAAGTTTTGCTACGTGTATGTATGTATGTCTCCGACTGCAGAATACTATGTTTCTTCGTCAACTTGTTTTCATCTTTTTATGCAGTCAGGTTTTTTTATTTTTGTAAATATTTTTTTATACTGAAGAATTAACGTAACATGCCTATATTTATTGTGGTTAAAAATCTAACTCCTTTAGGTCGTACTAAATAAATCCGCTATTTTTTATACTAATTTGTGGTCGATGAATACTATTATACACGTACCTACTATTTGAAAATTATTTTTATAACTTTTTAAACGATTTTTTTTTGTTTTTTCAGACATATTGCTTTTTTCTACTTTGCTTAATATATAAAACATGAAACATATTTGCTTTTCTTAAAAATCTATATAAATAGTTCTAAAACTTTACTTTAGGTAGGTAGGTACCTACTATCAGTTTTTTTATCAATAAAATCTAAATAGATACGAAAAAATATCAAAAATATAAATTTATAATATGCACATACATAAATAGCAAAAAGTACTTGATTGGAAATACATATCTTATTTTAGGGTTTAACCCAGCCCTCGTCACGAGGGAGGGGTGATAACAAAAAACGCCGGCACTCTCATAAAGATAGAAACGCAACCCGCCATTACAGAAGATTGGCTATTTGATCCCCTAACTAAAAACTATATAAGTTTATTTTGAATTTCAAATCAAATTAACTTTCCAAGTTCTTCTGTCTTCATGCACATTTTGGTTTCAACTTTTTAGATATTATATGTCTCGCAGAAAATTTCGACTGAATTAATCTAAATCCCTATATCCAAAGCAAAACAAGAAACAAATAATACAATCAAAGTCAGTTAAATAGGTTTTTCTTAAGATGATACTTTAATGTAACAATGTATTTTCTCCTGCAAAATGTGTACTGTAAATACGTTCTTAATGCCTTTGTGTACGGTCTATTATATGGATAAAGAGTTTTGGAAATTTCAAAGTTTGATTAAGGGCCTGTCGTATTGTTCATTAAACTTGGATTAAGTTGGCGTTGGATAGAACGAGGCGGCATCCAGTTAGCGTCGAAAGAAAAACAAAGTTGCCCTTAACTTTGGCAAGAGAGTTTGTGAAAAAGATTTCTATTGAGAATTTGAATAAATAATTATATTATCCATACAAATTGACTGCTGTCTATTTAGGAAAAGTTAGAAGCTTTATAGTAAAAGTATATACAAATACATATCTTGGTCATCTTGTTTCACTTTAGCAAAACTGAGATATTTTTGGCTTCAAAAAATCTATATTTTGCAGGTCACGGGCATACAAAAATGTTGGAGAACTCGTGTTTATTTTTGAATGGTTTAAAATAATAGGCATGTCATATGATACTTTGATGATTATTACTTACGTTCACGTCACTAAAATTGGCATTTTGTATTTCTAAGCTAATTCATTAATTAGATCATTAAATAAATTATATTATTACCAATTAAGAAAAAAATTCTCTCTCTACCTACAAATATTTAAACACAATATGTATCATAGTGTTTATAATCACAAAGATAGATAGATATAAGCCAATACTGAGTACGTATATATAATTCCTAAACTTTTAAATAATATTAATAGCTTATTTACAATATCCTATTGTATTAAAAATCTTATTAAAATTTTATGGTATATTATGGTATATAAAATCTAATCTTCTATCTTTTATTATATAAATAAAAATTAATGTTCGCATGTTGGTCCTCTATGCGCTCCTAAACCTTTGATCTGATTGTAATGAAACTATGGTGGGTTATTCTATATGTATACCTATAAAAAATCTTTTTCTTTAGACTTTTATCTTTTATGCATTCCTAAATCATTCAAGCTCAAGGATATACCCGAGCGAAGCAAGGGTACGTCGCTACTATTTAATATATTTCAATCAAAGAATAATTAAATGCACAATCATAAACATCGAAAGCCAGCTTCCAAAGGTGCCGTCTGATCAAACAGCCATTGAACGGGTGTTCCCACCTTTTGTTGGAAGCCGTCATGAGTCAGCAGTTCCGCGACCGTGATACTATCATTGTGATCGTCTAATTCAATAAGATCACCGGACATTTTGTTTATTTATCAGTTTCCTTGTCGGTGCTTAGTGTTGTATTAGCGGCTTTAGTCTCATGATCGGCTTGTACGTGACTCGAGTGCCTTGTTTTATTAGTAGCTTATCATATGAAACGTTTTGTTCTCATTTGTTCGTTGGTATGGAATTATGTTGGAATTCAATAATGTGTATATGTTACTGTAAAAGCCCGTGTATTGGTAAATCTTAGGTTTAACTAGTATATCCTAGGATTTACCAACAATGGTTGGTAAAGCACTCACGATATTGGGGGGTTTTGGATTTAAAATAAAAACATCTACCGTCTCTTCTCAACCTACGATATCCCAGTCGGCATTTTATCTCGACAAGGTCAAATACGCAAAGTATTTAGATAAATCAACGTTTACTAACCATCGTTGGTCAAATCTAACATGAACCAAACTCTGATGGTAAAAGTCCGAAACATCGTCTACTTTTTATATAACCCTTATATTTACCAAGTTGGCGAATCCTAGGATTTACTAGGTAAACCAAAGATTTAACAATATACCTACGGCTTTTACAATAACATATATTATATTAAAAAATAACATTTTAAGAATTATAGTCAAGGCTTATTTTTCATGAATTATCACATAAAACAAAGTAAACTAGAACGTAAATATACAAAAAATATAGTTGAATGAAAAAAATAATGTTTTTATTTTAGTTAGTGTAGTTTTGCGTAGGTAAATTTTTTACATCATAACATAGGTACCAAATTTGCTGATAAAAAGAGAATATCTTAAAATACATATTTTTTTAACAATAAAAACATACCATAATAATAAATTCTAATAATTAATATGAGCGATGATTATCATAATGCACGATGAGCCTATATAAATCATTCGCTAGTAACTTCTACTTACGGTTTATAGTTTTAATTTATACAAATTATATCTCACTCTGCCCCTTTTAAATAACCTGCTTAGGTTAAAAATAAAGGAAATTGCAAATTAAATATTTAAAAGCGGCATGTCGTAACGAACGGAGACCATGTTCATTCTGTATTATTATTAAGAAGCTTCTTAATCTCCACTTCGCATTTGAATTTAGAAATACTTTTTCTCTTGTACTCGTGCGTAGCACTGTATCAGGCTGAAAGAGACAGATATATTTTTCCCCGACTTATATAGATAGCTATCTCTATTTTTATCTCTCTCGCACGTGTTGATTCGTTCGCATGTGGGAAGTAGAGACTTGTTGTTACGGATTATTGCTTTAGAACTCTATATTATCAAAATTGAATTCTAATGTATAAGCAATACGGTTTAAAATATACTCAGTAGTAAAATGTACGACAGTCGAAGAACAGCTCCGCCTTAAAAATGGAAGGTGGTATGTAAAAATTGATGAACATGTATAGGAGTCCTTAAAGTGACAGAGTGCGCTGGCGTGTTGGGCAGTGTATATTGTCTCAAAATGTCGCGGGAGCGCGCGCCTTAGCTATTGTTTATTATCAGAAAGTGATAAATCAAATGACTTCGCAATAATATTGTTGAAACCCTGTATCGTTTGAATTTAGTGAAATCAATGTATGTTTTAATTAGGACCGTGTGTGAGTGTTAACTATTGTGGACTGTTTTGTAAGTGATTTCACGTTTGTGGAATTTTAGCATAAAAATAGAGGTGGTAATGAGAACTCTACATCGCAAATTATAAATTTTATGTATGTATAGCAGCATAATGTCGATAGCATGAGTACAGAAAGGATTGAAATTATATTTTTAATAATAATAATTATAAGTTTAAAGTACTACTACTAATAATTACTAGTAACTGTAGCCTTAATTTATCGGTCTAATAAGTAGGTAGGTACTCGTATATTGAAATAATAATTGTGAGTTAAAAATCACGAATTTGCTGTATTAAAGGATTAAAACATTTTTGAAAATTTCCATAATATATTGTCGCTAGTACACCTAGTTTAAATATTTTTTAAGAAATCACCTAATAAAATATTATTATTCTAAAAATAAAGTATTTGACAAAAACAAAACTACAATATATATTATCTCGTTATCCTTTACTTATGCTACAATTCTATAAAACGTGGAATAGATAAAATACATTATTTACAGGAAACATAAGGGGAAAAAATGCTCCCGTTCTGCAATTGTTGAATGGCGGCCATATTAACAGGCGTGTTGGGATGTGATGCGCCGACTCGACCACGCCCATAATGAGCTCTTTCCTCATGAACGGTGGATATCAACCACAGCCCGATCCAAAATTCCCTCCCTCTGAAGAATACAGCCAAGCAGACTATATACCACCTGGAGAATACTATCAACATCAGCATCTTCAATATGGGTATCAACATCAGTATCCGGTCCAAATTGGTACAGGATATGGGTATGGAGGCTACTACCATCCGATACCACAACATCCACCTGTGGCACCACCTCCAAGACCACCCGAACCATCTCATCCGTCTGATGCAGACCATGGATACATACCATCACATAATGATGCTACACCGGGTTTGGCCGAACTTGGGCTACGGTTAGAGAGACATATAGAAGAAGCTGCCCCAGCTGGTAGAAAGCTTCAAGCTTTAGGCCGTGAGGGATCTCCAGCATCAGAAATGGATGATGAGAGGTTGTTACTAGACAGTCCGCCCGTCGAAGATGACGACTCTTCGATATGCTCTGATAACACAGACAGAGTTATTTATCCGTGGATGAAAAAAATACACGTCGCTGGCGCGTGTAAGTATTTTTACTATTTTTTTGTTAGTAATATAATTATAGTACTAAGACCTAATGACGGCCAAGTATAAGGAAAAAGTTATCTATGGATACATTATTTAAATACATAGGTACGTAATTGTTTACTTGCGTTGAGACGAACACAGAATTGCATGAAATTTCATAGTGCCTACTCAACTCGATTGAACCCGCGAAGTTCTGTATGTTATGTCTAGTAGTTAGGAGGGTTATACCACATTGTCACCCTATTAAGTCAGTCCATTGCGCTACGACCGTCTTCTTTTAAATATATTTTTAGGATGAATTTATTTCTTATAATTTATTTGTTTTGTGATAGCTTTTTTAATCTCACAAATACATTTCTAGCATTTGATTAACAAAAAAATGATTCCTTACTAGTTCAACAATAATACCCAAGTATAAAAAAGAAATAAAAGCAAAAGTGTTTATGCAAATGTAAATACAAGTACAATTTCTTTTACAAAATTGAAAGATTAATTGTAGCACATTAATATCACGTTCACCGCCTGATTCGGCTATTGTTACACTCCGACACGAGTGCAAAATAGATTTTTAAGTATCATAATGTTTGCGGTATCACATTTGAAAGAATTAACAAATTACAACCTATCAATAACCCAGATATGTTTACGCATACTTGAGATTTTTTAGTTCTGTCTTTTGATTTGTTTTGACAGTTTACTAATGTGATGCCATTACGAAGGTCCTACAAGACGCCAGGACCTTTGTTAGGGCACAATGGGACCCGAGTACGGTAATGAGACTCATTTATTTTTATAACTTTCAAATGAAGGTTGCGATTGAGAATTCGTTGTGGAGATTATGCGTATTTAGTGGGCTATTTATGGGGTTTTAATGTCGCGTACAATTAATAAGAAATGAGTGAATATTTCTTTATTTTTTCGTGATGTTACTTTATACTTTATAAAAAATTGCTATATATATATTGCTAGACATGAGATGGTTTTATTTTTTTTATATTTTTGTGTTAAAATGTATTTTTTTTGGGTATAGAAACTATATTTAATAATTATAAAATTGGAAGAGAATAATCTAATTACATTAAAAACCATGCTATTTAAATTGTATTTTGAACTTCTATTTATTCTGATTCAATTAATCATTGTTCATCTTTATGGTTGATGAAATATACTTATGCAAAATTAAGTACCTACGTTATATCAAAACTTCGTATAAATATGCGTTTGGAAAAAAAAATATTATAAGAACGAGATTAACTCTTAGAATTACTTTTCTGACTGCACCTATGTAGCATCTAAGTGCAGTTTTTAATGTGTAATTTCTAGATACATTTGCAATATTGCATATCATTAAAAGTAATTTACCTGTAATTTGCCTTCAACATATAGACAATATGAAATCATTTTTAAAGAATAGGTAGAATACTAGCAGAACCCGCGGTTTCGCTCGTGCTAAAACTACAAAAAAAAAACTCTAAAAATTGATGAATTTCGAAAAATGCTAAAACACGTATTTATTTATTGTATTGAAGAGTATACCAAGTTTCAAGTAATTCTGATTATAAATATTTTTTTGGATTGTATTATAACGTGTTTTCCTGTGGGAATTAGATAATCTCCCGCGGTAAAAAGTAGCCTATGTTACTCCCCAGCTCTCCATCTATCTCCTCATAAAAAATCACGCCAATCCGTCTCTCCGTTTCGACGTAAATGAACGACAAACAAACAAATAAACAAACAAACAAACACACTTTCACATTTATAATATTAAAAGTATGGATATAGATTATTATAATAACTTGATAAAAATAATATTAATTAAGTACATGTAAAAAATATAAATAATTTATATTATTTATATATTATAATTTATATTATTTATATATTATAATTTATATTATTTATATATTATAATTTATATTATATATTATAATAAATATGAGTAGGTACCAACTTTTTAGGGAAATAGGTACCCATTACAAGCAAATGTTTTTTTATTAATTATTGAATTAGGTACTGAAATTTGCGCTATATCTCTTGTGGAGGAATCAGAGAGGACAGAATACCTGAATATTCGATTTTTAAATAACTAGCAAAAATTTTAGCTTTAGCTTTTTATTAAGCTAAAATTAAGTAAATAGCTTTTTTATTTCTTCTTATGTAATTGTTCTCTTCATGCGTCAAGAGGTTTTTAGATTTCTGACCTGATCTTCATCAAATATATTGGTTACATGGTCCTCAAAAGTCCTTTAAAGTCTTCTCCTACTTCACCTTGCTCGCTCTAAAAGTGCATGCATTATTGACTATTCTTTCGTCACCCATTCTGTCCATACGCCCAAACCCTTTGAGCACATTTTTCTTCAATTTTATAATCATATTGTTATCTGAACCTGCGATTTCGGGTATCTCTTCTTTCGGATATCTCGAAAAATTTGATGAGATAATGTAACTCTGCAAAACCTTATACTTACTTTCATACTTCCTTTGCTACGTCTACAATTATTAAAATTAGTTTTTATTCTTGCGTCGCGTATTGCCAATTCCAGATCTCCAATTTTTGCTAAACAGAGTTTCTAAATACTTTTAGTCTCTATCATCCCGCTCAATGTATAAGTGTAAGGTTTTATACAATGTTGTTTATTGTTCTCTTTTTTACATCAGAAAAAAAATAAGTTTTAGCCGTAGTTTAGCTCAGAAATTTATTCTTAAAATCACCAATTATGAAAATAAAATAAATAAATAAATAAAATGACTTGTATTTGCACCTAGCTCTTTGATATCACTTGTCTATAACAAACCAAAGTTCTTACTGTCCATCTTATCAAAATTTGCAAGCCCCAATAAGATCAAAAACTCTTCTGGTTAACAGCCAGGAGCTTTTCAGTAATAATATAGTGGGAAAAGATCTGATCCATACTTTGAAATTTTGATCTGAAACCTCCTTGTATCTCCAATAAATTACATTATTTAAATTTCACCTGTATTGTTATTACCAATACTTTTCTGTATACTTGACTACATAAGCTTATGAACTGATAACACTGTAGTGCACTCGGAAAATCTATAGCAAAAACTTATGTTTCTAAAAAGGTAACGTGATAGAAATACGTCAATCATCAAGGACTATCCCCTGTCTTCCAAGTCTTCCAATACAAATTTTAGTTTTTATGTTACGATTGTTTCGTTGGGTTAAGTGGTTGTAATCGTGAAGTCCTAGGTTCATATATTTTTCTATTACAAAATACTGACTAGCAACCCGGAACCGTGGAGTTTAAAAATAGATATAAATAAGAATATATTACATAATGTAAATTGTAAAACATTAGATTTTAGACTTTAGACATAATGTAAACCTAAAGTCTTAAGTTTGCTTTGTCAAAACTTTATTTCACTTATTCTTTTTGCGTTACATTAAAAGAAATTCAAAGAAGTATTCGTCATTCATTTTATACATTACCATACATTGTTGACAGCTTTTCAAAGCATCTCGTGTCTAAATTATGCATATTGTGTACAAGTTTTTGTAAATTTGACCCACAGGTCATTTGACATGTTTCAATCTTCGTATTATTAATATGCTTATGTACGGGATATAATAATATCTACAAATATTATTTATAAAACGTTTTAAATGTATTCTAAGTTTTTAATGAATGGCTATGGCAAGAATAACAAAACACAAAGAATAGTAAAACAACTGACTGATATTAAAAAGGATATAATAAACTATAAGCTATAATATACTTAGGTACACATTATATGTAGTAGGTACATATAGACTTCGAAAATATCTGATTACGTATCTATTCTAAATGAAAACCTTCGTTTAGTTATTTTTTACATTTTAGTGCCTAGAAGTCGGTTTTTATGAAGGTTTTTATTTTTCCATTTCTTGTGTAGACGTAATAAGCAGGTAATTTGTAAGACGAAAGTTTTGTAATAATATATTCATATAAACAATTTTTTTTTAAATATATTTATTGTTGAATTTTTTTTAAAACTGCTTGACCGATTTCGATAAAATTTATATGGGACCACCTGGAAAGTATACCTACCTTTTAAAACAAAAAAAATATTTCCAAATCGGTTGAGGCGTCTTCGAGTAATCAAGTGAACATACATAAAAAAATCCGACGAATTGATAACCTCCTCGTTCTAGGAAGTCGGTTAAAAATAATGTTCCTTACAAGATACCTTTCGTGATCCCAAGTGAAGCTGTAATTCCATTTATTTCGTTAAACAACTTAATGTATCGGAGCCAAAAGCTTTTTAGACTCTTCCACTAGTATTAAAAAAAACTATTTTAATTAACAATTACAAAAGAGTATGCTACTTGAATCAATATTATTGCGGAGCTTATATTTTGCGATTTTGAAGTTTAGTAATGTAAACGCTTCTTTAGTAAAAAGAATTTTATGGCCTATACAAAAAAAAATTGAAGCCATGAATTTTTGATAATACATACTTTAGATCTAATTATAATACATAGGTATAAGCTTCCATACGGTATCTTTGTATTCCTAATATAATATTTATTAATATGTTGATTTGACAATGAAATAACAACCTTTTTTATTTATTAAATTAATACATTAAAAATCCATAATAACCTTTTTTTACTCGACTGCAAGGAAAGGGTTGTGTTTTTCGCGATTATCTTTGTATGTTTATTTGTAACATTCTTTACCTATTCCCTCATATCTTCCAAACCACTCGAAGGATTTCTTTAATTAAGGTATCATTAGATTCGTCTGATTAGTCCAAGTGGTCTAGTTACTAGTTAAAAGATGAAAACAAGTTCACGATAGAATATAGTATTATGCAGTCGGAGACATACATACGAGTAGGTATGTAGGTACATCTTGCGGCAAGGATGAAACGTGTATGTCTCCGACTGCATAATAGTATATTCTATCGTGAACTTGTTTTCATCTTTTTAGTTAGCTTTTATGCAGTCGGATTTTTTATTCTTATAATAATATATTTATTTTGTACATT